AAGAACAAGGTTCCAGCCAGAGGTCGGAAAACTGGACGAGGAAGAAATGATGAGCAGATTCTGGTAGAACAGAACTCGGGTCCGAAAAGTGATGACGGCCCAGCGAGGAGAACCAGGTCCCGCTCCAACTCCTCCAACTCCATCAGCTCTGAGAGATCGGCCTCTAGTGTCGGTGTTCAGGACAACAGGGGCCGGGGCCGAGGCAGAGGAGCCAAACCAAAGAGCCAGCCTCCTCAGACGCCTGGTGGAAGGAACGTGAACTGCAGGAGAACCAGGCGGGACAGCAGGGCAGATGATGCTCCCCCACAGGAAGTCTTCTCAAGATCCAACTCCTCCAATTCCCTCAACTCGGACATTTCCAGCAGCAGCGTGAGCTCGGTGAGGCAGCGAGAACGAACCCGCAGAACCGAGGTTCCTGTCGGCACTCAGCGAAGTTCGATTTCAGCTCCCAGAGCTGCTGCTGGAGGCCGGAGGGGCAGGAACACGGAGGGGGCTGCAAACGTCACAGAGGAGAAGGTTGAACCGCTGCAGAGTCGTACCACCAGGGGGCAGCGACGAGCAACAGCATCATCTTCTGAAGTAGCTGCTCCGGGTGAGGACAACCAATCCATTCAGGAGGAAAGTCTTGTCAGTGAGGAACCGCACCAGTCCAAGAGGAAGGTCAGGGGTCAAGTGGAGAAATCCATCAGTGATGTCAGAGCGGTGACATCACCACATCATTCTTCAGTCAGTGATGCTGATGAGACCAAAGGAGACACCAGGAGAGGAAGGAAGAGGGAGCTGCAGGCCACGGTGGAAGAAGGTTCCTGCAGCGGTGCCAAAGTCGTTAAAGTGGAAAACCAACGTCCGCCAACACAGGAGGAGAGTAAAGATGAGGCAGTGGTCCACACCAGGAGACGGGGAAGAACTTCTACGGCCCAACCCAAGAAGACTGCTGTAGAAGAAAAAGTCAAGGAGGAGGAAGTGGAGAAGGTCGTCCAACGGAGAGGCAGAGGTCGGTCTACGGCCGTCTACAACAGCAGGAAGGAGGAAGAGGAGGTGGAGGAGGAGGAGGAGGAGGAGATGGTGGTGGTTCCCCCTGCAGTTGACCAGGACGGAGACATGGAGCAGGTCAGGTGGTGGTGGTGGTGGTGGTGGTGGTGGTTTTTGGAACAAAATGAAAACATGTTGAAGGACTAGTTTAGTATTTCTGGTATGGACCAGGTGTCGTCCTGGACTGATGTCCCAGACTGAAGTCCCAGACTGATGGGGGACACCCTGGTCTGGTCACTTCTCTGTGGGAGTGCAGATTAGTGGAGCTGTAAACTGATTCAGAACTTCACTGTCCCCGGTGGACATTTGTTTTATGACACACAACGCACTGAAAAACAAGAGCAAAACATCTGGACATTTAGGTTTGGAAAAAAAGAAGAAATAACATAAAATACATGAACATGTCTGTGTGTGTGTGTGTGTGATCATAAATCAAACCAAACCAGGAGTCTAGAAGAGGTGTGTTTTATCAGACACACACACACACACACACAGACTAGTCTGTGTCCTTGAAAAGACAGGCTTTCATCTTGGCAGCAGCTTCAGTGTCTCTGACTCAGCCGTTCCAGACAGGATAATGTTCTGCTCTTTACAACAGGGACGCTCCTGCTCTCACTCTGGCTCCATGTCTCTCTATCTCTCTCTCTCTCTCTCCCTCACTCTCGCCTCGCCCTTTTATCTCCCTCCCATCTCGTCCTCTCCCTGTTTTCCTTCACTTCATCTTCATCTCCTCCTCTGTCCCTCCCTCTGCTCCCCCCTTTTCTTTCTCTCTCTGTGTCCATGCTCACTCCCTCTCTCCCTCTCTCCCTCCCCCTCTCTCTCACCTGTTCCAGATTCCCGTTAATGCACAGTGATAAATGACACGTCGGTCTCTGTCATCGTTGTCTTGGACCTCCCTCTCCTCCCTCCCTCTCTGTCCCACCGTCCCTCCCTCTGTCCTTCAGTCCCTCCCTCTCTAATGCAGTCTCTCTCTCTCTCTCTCGCCCACACCCCACAGGCCGTGACCAGAACTTTTACCCGTAAGCGACCGTCTTCTGTGAACTCCACTCCTGTGGCCAAGACTCGTCGCGCCTCCTCCTCCTCCTCCTCCTTCTCCTCCTCGTCCCCTGCGGCTGCTGGTGGCCGAGTCCGAGCTGCGAGCCAGGACTTTAGAGTCAGTGCTGCCGTCAACCTTTGGGTTCTTTTAGAAACATTCAGTCACATGACCACATGACCACAGACACGGCACAAAACAACAACATTCACTAACATAAAAAAAACATTCAACTTTTATATGAAAGTTAAAGGTCATTGAACATTTTCAAGGCCTTGAATCCAGTCACAGGGAGGAGCTGCAGTGGAACAAAATATATCTCATATATATATATGTCATATCACATATATCGGTTTTTCAAGTTAAAAAGAGTGAGACATTTTTAACATAGCCTTTTTAAACTAACTAACTTATTTTTACTAATCTCAAAAAATGACCTCTGACCCCGACCCCCCGACCCCCAGGTGCTGTTCACGGGGCTGGTGGACGAGGCTGGGGAGAAGGTGCTGGTCCGTCTTGGAGGCAGCATGGCTAAAGGTATCGCCGACATGAACATCCTGGTGACTGATAAGGTCAGGAGAACGGTCAAGTTCCTGTGTGCCATGGCCAAAGGAGTACCGATCGTCACCACCCGGTGGTTGGAGATGGTCAGTGACTGTTAATTAAATAACACCATCTTGTGGTTTCCAGTCTCTCCTCCGTCTTTGTTGAAGTTGTTGTGTGGTTCCAGAGTGGTAGAGCTGGGAGCTTCATCTCCACCGACACTTTCCTGGTGAAGGATCCAGAGCAGGAGAAGAAATTCAGCTTCTGCCTCCAGGAGTCTCTGAGGAGGTCACAGGGTCAGCCTCTCTTACAGGTCTGCACACACACACACACACACACACACACACACACACACACACACACACACTCTGAGGTGATGTAGATGTTGACACAGCATCATGATGTGATGGAGCTCCGTCCGTCCAACACAGGGATATGAAGTCCATGTTACCAAGTCAGTCAAGCCTGAGCCGGTTCACATGAAGGACATCATCTCCTGCAGCGGAGGAACCTTTTTACCCAGGATGCCCTGCTCTCACAAGGTATTGAGTAAATCCACCCGTACTCCCGTCGTCGTCTTCGTTTACGTCACGTCGTCTGCTTTGACTTTCACGCCGCTGCGTCTCTCCTGTCTTGCAGCCCCAGACCGTAGTGGTTTCCTGTGAGGCGGACTGGGCGCTGTGCGGCCCGGCCGTCGCCGCTTCGCTCCCCGTCGTCTCTGTGGAGTTCATTCTCACCGGAATCCTTCAGCAGAAAGTTGACCTGCAGTCACACGCTCTCACCGTGGCCCAGCCTCGACCTGCAGCTGGGAGAGGCCGCGCCAGGAGGAAGGTGTAGCTCTGACGCCGACGCTGACGCTGAGCGGCACACGGCCGGCGCTGCTGCCACTTCCTGTACGTATGGGCAGAAATGTGCCGACGTCAGAGACCAGTGTAAAAACACACTGGTGACCGTGACGCTCCAGTGAGAGGAGGACGGAGTTAATTTGACAGAAGCTAAAAGAACACGAATGATCAGAGTTTCTTTTTTACCTGGTGGGAACAACAGAGGATTTCCTTTCAAATATTTAAAAAAAAAACAAAAAAAAACCTTTATGTAGTTTTTTAGCCCAGATGTGGTTTTTACATCTTTGTTGACTTGACTGTACCAGAACATCAGGACACAAATCTCCACAGTGGTTTGGTGAAATCAAAACAATCCCTTGATGTCGTCGTTTAAATCACAGATCTGTGGGTTTTAATAAGAATCAGTGACGTTCTTGGTCGTCAGTTCCAGGACTTAGGGATAAGGTTCGAGTCCCATTTGTGTGTTGACAGACAGATCCAGCTGTAGGTGGTGATGTGACTCAGACCTGGGCTGACGGTTGAACCGTTCACTGGTCTCCTGGATCAGAGCTGAGTGGAGTCAAGTCCACAGGTTCTCTGCTCACAGTGTGGATGGTAGTTTAAAAAAAACAACAAAAAAACAACTACAGCATCATAGTAATAAAGAACTGGTCCCCGTTCCTCCAGCTGCACGCCCCCCCTCATCCCCCTCCATCGTGTTGTTAACACCAACAACAATAATTACCACTTGTGAACTCTGCTGGTGCTGGTGTTCCTGCTCCGTCAGCCTGTCTGGCAGGTGACCAGCTGATAAATCACGCCTGGAACTGATGGTGTTTTCAAACATCCATCAGCGCCGGCGGCCGGGATGTTTCAGATGTTTCTCTTTTTCCTCTCATGAGGATGAGACGACGCTGCCTTTTTTTTTTTCTTTTTTTTTTTTTTTTCATACCGAGGAGCTAAAGGAGCTAACAGTGTATCTGCTGTTCCTGTGTCTCCATTAACCACCACTAACTCCTCCATTAAGGCTGCAGTCAATCCACCGACCTCCAGGGAGCGACACGTGATGTAGGTACCTGATGCTGCTGCTGCTGCTGCTGCTGCTGCTTCTGCTGCTCCATCAATTTCTTATGATGTTTGTTTCCACCATGTATTTATTGACTTTTTAGCGCGGGGCCTTCAGTGTAAAGTGATCTGCCACAGCATGAGAACTGGTACCTGGTTGTTAGACCCTGGTACTTCCTGTTCCCTCAGAAATACAAACAATTCAAATGTTGATCATGACACAATGAAACATTAAATCATGGGACAAAAATAAAATAAAGTTCTGTAACTAGGACGTACATTTTTACCTTCAATCTGTGTCAACGTTTAATCAGGTGAAAAAACAAACTGCAGTTCATAGTTTTCAGTCAGTTTATACTCGTACACATTTTTTATTCTCCATTTTTCCTATAAAAATGACTTGTGTTTAAAGTTGATATCATTAGGTCAACGTCTTGTCCTTTATTTAAATATATTTACTGTATATATTAGGTGGTGGTCTTTATGAAAGGGTAAAAAGTGAAATTTGTTTATATAGATTTAAATATTCCATGTGTGTAAATATATGACAGAAATATAAAGAATGACTCTGTATATTTTAGACCAGGTAACTGTATTTACCTCTCATATATGTGCAGTATAAACATGTATTTGTACACGAGTTTTACTTCAGTAGAAATAATGAAACTTCATGTCGTTTACAGTTACACAGAAATATATATGTTTATATTATGGGATATGTCGTGTTTGCATTAACAGAATGACTTCACGGTGACACAGACTCTTACAG